TCTGCCCTAAACAGAGCCACATTGGCGTGCATTCCCTCTGTAGACTGAATACTGTCTAAAGATTAAGAGATTACTACACCGATCTGTCGTTCCCTCACTGCCACTGAAATGTCAGGCGATTTCACCCAGATCTCTGCAACCAGGGCTAGGGTAGAATCTGTCTGGGCTGTCTAATTTGACAATGAGCTATGCCGTGCTGAAATCAACAGTATGCAAAGAGCGGAGCAAAGAACGCATCACGGGTAATGTTTTCAACATTTCAAAGACTTCACAAAGCTGAGGAAGCCGTGCAGATTATATTGGAAGAATTGTATTTTTTGCCGACTTGTTTTGGAAGGTGCAGACTCTAGAGCTGTCATCCTTGTCACTAACCTGGAACAAGTATGTACAGTATTAGGCATTTCAGGAGCTACTCGACCAATACTTGTTCCAGGGAAGCAACTCAGAAGATGACAGCCCTGGAACACCTTCATATTCATTCCAGCACCAAGAAGCGTTCAGTGGTGGTGACTGACACGTGACGACACACTATATCTATATACGCACACACACACACACACACACACACACACACACACACGGACAGATCACCGACACACAGTAATCCTATACATCACAACGATGGAGCCAGGAGCTTCAACATATATCAAGCCCGAGTCGGAACAGGCCCAGGACTGAGTTCAGAAGGGGCCCAGAGATAACTGCAATGGGTCCAAAGCCCGAGTCTGGATGGGCCCAGACGTAGTTGCAGCAGAACTTAAGCCTTGGCCTGAATCAGCATGGAGGTAGCTGCAGCAGATTTTGAAGCCCAAGTCCAGATTGTAATATCCTAATAAGGAGGAAGACGGAACTCAGCTGCGGAGTCACGGTAATTGTCACGTGCTCAGGCCCAGGAGTACGTCATGGCAAGGATTTAATTTGCCAAACAACCTCAGTGCATCATAGTACAGTCTTCCAGAATCTAGCCTGACTACGCTTAGGTGCGACAGATGAGTAATTAGAATTTATATGAGCAAGGTATTGATGGGGGAAGATATCTCTCTCACTTAACTTGCAGAGTTAAATATGTTCACTTTACATAACAGTATAAGATGGTGTCAGTATTTGGGATTGAGATGCTGAAATGCCAGACGAATGTGAGATTGTGTCTTATGACGCGGAGGGGGCCGTGTGACATCGATGGACCAGGGGCGGAGCAGTTGTGGCCGAACGGCCACAACTGCTGGAGCTATTACACAGATGGGCCTAGAAGTAGTTGTAGTGGGTCCCCAACCTGAGTGCAGTGGGTCCTCAACCTGAGTGCAGATAGGCCCGTAGGTAGCTGCAGTGGGTCCCCAACCTTAGTGCAGATGGGCCGGTAGGTTGCTGCAGTGGGTCCCCAACCTGAGTGCAGATGGGCCCGTAGGTAGCTGCAGTGGGTCCCCAACCTGAGTGCAGATGGGCTCGTAGGTAGCTGCAGTGGGTCTCCAACCTGAGTGCAGATGGGCCGGTAGGTTGCTGCAGTGGGTCTCCAACCTGAGTCCAGATGGGCCGGTAGGCTGCTGCATTGGGTCCCCAACCTTAGTGCAGATGGGCCCGTAGATAGCTGCAGTGGGTCCCAAACCTCAGTTCTGATGGGCCCGGAGGTATTTACCCAGAGTAACTATTCGAGTCTCTTTACCATGGACCATTTGAATGTCATTCTTATCAAAGATCTTCCAATTAAGACACATGACCCTTTTGGCCTCATGTCCATCCTTATGCATTGAGCAGAGCGTGCTGGAAGCAAGAGGAAATTTCTCCAATGGGGATCCAACAACAGTCATTGCTTATTACTGGATAAGAGTTACAACCCCAGTCTGCGTAAATGTCACAATTTGGGAGGCCCTCGGCAGCCATTATATAGCACTTATGAGGATTGTAGTGACACATCATAAAAAGGAATTTATTTATAGCGAAGTAAAAGACAAAATGGCGGTGAAAAAGAAACTAGATGATGAGCATATCGCAAGCGGCAGATACATTCCTCTTCAGTATTTATAGAGCCCAAAGGATGAAATTCATGAGTCATGTCTGTGCTGTAAATAAGATGGTCACTTCCAAGTGTGATTCCATTTATTATTGTCATCATGTGCTGCAATTAGATGCCACTGGCCCATAAAAACCAGATTTGCAATGCGTTTGGAATCAGGACTGTGGATATTACAGATACACACAGAGGGGCTTATTCAATAGGGTAATGATGAGATACAAGAGCCCATAACAACCAATCGGGCTTCAATATACTGCAGCCAGATCAGTTAAATTCTTTCTGATTGGTTGCCTGGGGTTAATATATTTAAGACATAGCTACTACACCCTAAAGTCAGCGATTTTTTTTAAAGGGACCCCTAATATTTCGCCGAAACCCCCCCCCCCC